CGAGCCGACAAACAGCTGATCAGCTGTTTGTCAGCTCAGCGCGGCAGCCATGTAAATGTAAATGAAGCTGCGATCATTTAAATCGCGGCTTCATTTACATTTGCTGAACAAACAAATCTACATGCCTCTGCCGACAAAGGCATGTAGTGTAGACGAACCCTGAGACATTGGAGAAGAAATTTAAACAGTTACTGGGAGATGTTAACTCTAATGCATTTACAAGGAGAGCAAGGCTCATTCAATATGAACCTGATGCACTGATAAGGATGACATCAAAGAGTGCTGTCTGATTTAAAAAAATAAGAACACAAAGTAAGCAGTATAGAACCAGAATGGCAGACTGTATTTAAAATACTACATGAACGTGATCTATACCTTGATTCTGGTCCTATGGAACATTCTCTTATTTTGTATCATAGGGATTAGTGTAGAAAAATTATTGAAAATGTCTTACTGAAAGAATAACCCATCCATATTCATTGTTATTTACTCCTATTATGTATGGGACAGTACTGAACTCTTTGGCAGCCAGTAACTCTTCAGGTTTCTTTGGAATAAATACACCATCTATGACTGCGGGGAGAAATGACACTTGCTGTAAGAAAAAAAATTAAAATTATTTTTTCCTCTAGATGACATTGCAAAATTCACACTTCTGAGCAGACCCAAGACTAAAGTAAGTAGTCATACAAGTTCTAATACAGTATCTTACAGTCCAATGTAGAAGCAGCCTCTCTTCCTTAAGACTCTTTACTGGCCTGGCCAATAATCCAGTGGATAGTTGTTGGCTCCCCTATCATCTCCAAATGTTGAAGTGAACCATCTGGATACTTCTGGAAGACCATGAAATCAGGGAGTGGACCAGCCAGTTGTCCATGAGGACTTCTGGGCCACAGAAGAGTTTTAGACCACTAGAACTTCTTTCCAAAGAAACTATTAATGGTCTTTAACTTTACATTTTGAAGCTTTGTGCGTCTGTCCATCTATTCAAGAACGCTTCCTAAATAGTAGTAGAAATGTAGCCATGTTAGTCTGGTGCAGCTGAAACAAAAACAGGACTGTGTAGCACTTTAAAGACTAACAAGATGGTTTAATAGATGATGAGCTTTCGTGGGCCAGACCTACATCTGAGGAAGTGGGTCTGACCCACGAAAGCTCATCACCTGTTAAACCAGCTTGTTAGTCTTTAAAGTACTACACAGTCCTGTCCTAAATACTAAGAGCTAGGACCATCAAATTTGTTAGGCAGCTTCCTCTTATCCTAACTTAAAGCAAGGTGAGGGTTTGGTTGTGCTAGAAAAACTGTAAGTGCCTGAATGGCATTGTTTTCCATAATACAGAAAGGGAGGGGGTGAGAACAGGGACAGTCATGCTTCGCAATGACCAGTGGAGGCAGCGAATCTGAGGGACAGCTATATTGCACAGTGACCCCAAGGGGACAGCTGCACCAGGAAGAGAGTGGCCAGCTGGAAAGCAGATATGGGCTGGGGGTGGGGGTCAAGGCTGTGTTGCCCTCAACCCCTCAGGGTAGAGCCGCTGGGCACTGCACTCCTGCACCTCCCAGAGGAGCTGTAGGGTGGGGTCAGACAGTGTAGCTTTGGCCCCCCTCCCCAAAGAAGCTGACAACTGGAACCAGATGGTGTGGCCCTGGGCACCCCAGGGAGCCACCCTAGATGCTGTGGGAAGCCCGAGGAGCTGCCCCATCCTTTGCCCTGAACCCTCATAATGATCAGAGCAATGCCGGGTAAATTTGTTAGTAAATGTCATAAAATTAAAAAGTCCTGATTTCTGATACTCTTGAATTTCATGAAGTTTCAAATGCAGGCTCAAATTTTGTGACTCAGTTGACCACCTTTGTTAGAAACACTCATGCCTTGCCTACACTACTAAGGTTGTTGACAAAACATATGTCAACAGCCAAAAGTCGACAAAATAAAATTGCCAGAGGGTATTCACATTTGATCTTCTGTCGACAAATCATGACCACATTGAGCGCAAGGTCACTGACAGTGTGAACAATTCTTTGTGAGTATGGATCCCAGAGTGCAGTGTTGTGAGAAGGCAGAGCTGATCGCTGTGCAGTTTGTGATTCCATTCAAGATCTCCCATGCCCCCTCATCTGCTGGTGCTGGCATCTTGAATAGCTCTACGAGCTCTCTGCGGTGAGGACTGTTAAAGCAACACTGCAACCTTTCTCTCTCCCTAACTTTCTGCAGCAGCAGTCTGCCTGCCACTGTGTTCCTAGTACAGGCAGAACAGAAGCAAGTTAATGATTTGTTCTTTGTTTCCCAAATGGAACAGCCCACTCAGCAGTTAGATACTTCTGGGAGCTGTGAAAGGGGAGAGGCGCATGCCTGCAGGACAACAAAGATCAAAACACTGATCAGAACCATCAGGCTAGGGATTGTGGGATACTGGCAGAAGCCAATTCTGTTGACAAAAACAGCAGTGTCTATACTGGTTCTTTGTTGATAATAAAGAGAAGGAAAAAGAAAAAAATGTTTCCTGTAGGGATGGAAGTTTTTTGTCACCAAAACTGGGCATTTTTCCTACCAAAAGTCGCACTGCAGTGCATGTGCTTTCACTGTTTTGTCGTCTAAAGTTGGTAGTGTTGACAAAGCCTCGGTCCTTGTGTACGCTATGAATTTGGGTCAGTATAACCACATCATTCAATGTTGTAGGTTTTCCACACGAGTGACATAGTTACACTGACCTAATCCCAGGGGCAGATGGCCATTTTGCGGGGCCCAAGGCAGCACAATTTCGCAGGGCCCCCCTTTGCCACGGCGCATGCGCGGGGCTTCTTGAAGCGCGGGGCCCGAGGTGGCTGCCCTCTTCGCCCTGCCCTATATCCGCCCCTGCCTAATCCTCAGTGTAGACAGCACTATATCAACAGAAGGGCTTCTCCCACTGACACACCTACCATCTCTCAGGAAGGTGAAGTACCTACACTGATGGGAGAAGCTCTCCCATCGGTGTAGGTAGCATCTTCACTGGAAGAGTTACAGTGGTGCCACTGAAGTGTGGTAAATGTAGATAAGCCCTAAACATAAGTAACTGAATTAAGGATCCAGTCCAAAGCTTACTAAAGCCAGGTCTATACCATAGGGGAAGGTCATCTTAAGGTATGCAATTCCAGTTACATAAATAATGTAGCTGGAGTCAACACACTTTAAGCTAAACTTTGGTGCCATTCCCACAGTGGGATGTCACTGGGAGAAATGCTCCTGTTGACTTCCCTTACTCCTCACAATTGCAAGGAGTACCATGGTCGACAGGGACACCGTCAGCATTCGATTTAGCAGGTCTTTATTAGACCTGCTAACTCAAATGCTGGAAGACTGACTGCTGCAGGGTAGATCTTCCAACAAATATAGATGTGGCTTGAAGTTAATGTGAATCCTTCTATTGAAATTAATGGGAATACTTTCACATACCTTAAGTAGATCAGCATTCAGAGTCATTATTTCTTTATCCATTTTCTTCCTTAAACATTGAACCATTGCAGAACTGGTTATCTCACAACCAGATAAATTAGCAATTGTCTGCAATTATTAAAAAAAAAGAATCAATGAGAATGGTGTGATAAAGACAAAGCATCAATAATACCTTCTCTAATACGATGGACTTTAAGAAGTGCCCACCTTAGACAAGTTACCATTGTGCAGAAGCAATTAGATGCTTCCCATGTCAACTCTCCATTTCTCACATCATTTGCCCTAGTGCAAGTGGTGGGTGTGTATATACAGATATACCCATATAATGATGGATGGAGATATGAACAGGAGTCTCCAGGCCCCATTCTTGAAAACTACTTTCTGATTTGTCTGCAATTTTATAAGCAAAACAGGCTATTTTTAAAAGCTTCCTTAATCTGAAATAGATACGTGCTTTGATAGTTCTCAGTTGTAATTCTGGTATAAATTCTGACTACTTTGATTACAGATATTTTTCTGTTCCCATTGTAATAACAAAGTGCCCCCCTCCCTATTTTTTAAACATTAGAAAAATTAAGTTCTAACTCCTATTTTTCCTCCTGGATTCAGAAAGTACCAACACAGGATGCAGACCTGCTGTGGACTTCTCCCAGCTCCCAGTTAAATACATGAACTTATTCAGTTTGGCAGATTATTGCAGCTCAATTCAGACAAACCTAAAACTCAACACCCCATCTTTCTTTAGTCAGAAACTAACAGAGTTGCAGCTCAGGCATTAGACTCTTGTAACATAACATTCAAAGTCCTCGTAGAGTTGCTGAAATTCTACAGAAAAAGAGGGAAATTAGAATCTGATATTTCACTCTAAAATTTTTGTTAAAGTGAAAAAAACCCTCCAAATAAATAAACAACCAACCAAACAAATAAATAAAATTTTTGAGAGATCAACTTCTCCACCAGGGAAGAACAGTAGGGTGCAAACATTTGGATGTTAGTTTAAAACTCAATTTTTACAATATTTCAGGCATTGGAAGATTAGTATTTTAGAGAAATATGGCTAAGGTAATACTGAAAACTTACATTAGCAACTACTTGAAGATGGGAAATAAAAGAGCCAGGAACTTGAGCAACTCCACTTTCTGATATGGCTTTATGGAACAAACCTTTTGACAATGGAGATAAAATCTACAAACAAAAGTAAGAATATAATTTACATATTCAAGTACAGGTTTGATATAATTCATGACTGACTTTACTTCAGAAACTAGATTTAAAGGTGAGGCTTGAGACTCAATCTTAAAACTCTTAATCCTGAAATTTGAGTAATCTTAATACAAAGGTACTTATTGGAAACTTACATGTGCTCCAACACTGATTCCTCCTGCCGACGCTCCAAATATAGTAACAGACTTTGGATTTCCTCCAAAAAATGCAATATTTTCCTGAACCCACTGAAGAGCTGCCACTTGATCCAATAAGCCCCAGTTTCCACGAGCGTGTTCATCACCAGTACTGAAATCAAAAAAAGAGTTTATAGAGTATACCAGGATATTTATTCTTTACAGTTGGGCATACAATACTGGCTCTACTGAATTAAAACCATGCTGGTATTTTATTCTTACACTACCTTACTGAAAGTTTATTTCTGAGTCTCAACCTATGGCTTTCACTAAGTGCTACAGGTCTCTGCTGACCATGCTTAACTTTCAAAGGAATAATTTTCCACTATCCACATGAACTTCAGACAACATAATATTACAAAGTATTTAGTAACAAGCACATATCAAGTTCTAGTCTAGGGCTAGTCTAACTATATTAACTTTCTGTATTTTATATTTGTCGATTGACTACACATTTTTAACTGATGTCAGGGTCCCCAGAGCAGAACTGGATAGGTGCTTTTTGTCATTAAAATGCTGCAGTTGTGCAGTAAGAAGGGAGGAAGAGGATATATATTTATTCTTCAAAGACCTCGGCTTTGGGCCTGAAGAAATTCATGCTCACTCATAATGAGCATACTTCCTATCTTGGAGAGAGGGAGAGAGTGTGTATTGTTAACACCCTGTTTGAGCAGACCCATAGTAACAAAATATGTCTTACCTAAAGAATCCAGAGATACCTAACCTATACTGGATAGCTACCACCACCACATTTTCATACGTGGCTAATGCTGACCCATCATATATCGAAGCCCCACCTATGCATAAAGTTCCTCCATGGATCCAAACCATAACCTGAAAAAAGTAAGCTCAGTTAGAACTACTTGTAACAATGAACTTGCTAATTTAGTAATAAATCAAAGGGTTGCAGGTTACAATTTTTATAAACAGGATTATTATTTTTAAAGCAACAATTCAATTTTAGATAGTACTAAAGAAAAAAAGAAAACATGTTGTTTATGTACAACACTTAATCTGTCAGAAGTGACAAGTGACCCATGCTCAGGATTAATACATTTTTATTTACTTTTGTTGCCAAGATCACGATAATGTATTTTAAAGTACCCTTTTTACCCAGTATCATTCATTCATTTATACTTGTGTACTTTGACATTTCAAAGGGTGTCAGAGCCTGATTTAACTAATCAAGTTATCTTATTAACATGATATATAGCATTTTCTGTTGTTCAACTGTTTGCTGTGGCTTTTGACTTTGTATTTCTAGCAAAGGTGCACCTCTCCGTGATTCAGCATAACGATGATTATTTTTTATTATTTTACAGTACCCAAAGGAATGATGGGCACCTTGCAATATAGGTAAGAAGTCACGATCCTTACTCTGAAAAGTTTACAAGCTAATTTAAAATCTGACAATGATGAAAAAGGATAGAAGAAAAGTAGTGGGAAGCTGAAAGAGGAAGCACAGGTTAACATTAATAACCAAGTTATTAGAATAACCAGAAAGGCTAGTGAACATCACAATAGAGTAAAAGATTATTAATTTAAATGAAATATATAGATGCCTTAGCAAGCTAATTACTTGTATATGTCATGGAAGAAGTAGACCACAGGGAAGGATATGAAAGGAAAGGGTCCTACAGATGAACTCACAAAGGGCATTCCAAGCACAAGGAGCAATATGGAAGAAAGTGTGGAGAAGGTTGTGAGAAAAGCAGACAGATACAGTAACAAAGGCTGACATAATTTGTGGTGCAGAGAAAGCATGTAAGAGGATGTGTCATAACATGAGACAAGGTAAGACAAATAGGGAGGGGAAGAATTACAAAGGCCCTTAAAGGTGATGGCTAGCATACTGATCTTGATGCAATGAAATGGAGAAAGATTCAAAGAAGGGCTGTTGTGGTCATAATGAGAGAAAAAGGAGATAATCAAAATGAGACAAAGAACCAGGTACATTTTGTGTGGACTGAAGAGGAAGCAAGGTGGATGCGAGGGAGGCCAGAGAGGAGGAGGTTGCAGCATTCAACACAGGAGATAAGAGGGTTCTGGATAAATCATAGCTGTGTGGACAGGGAAACAGATTCAATCTGACAGATTTAATGCTGGAGTCAAATGTGACCACGGACAGGAAATTACAGCTAGTATTCTGGTAGATGGGGTCAGGTCTGGTATGCAGGAAAGAAGCATGGGAAAATCAGGACCTTATGTAGAGTAAGGCTGCCATTGGCAGATTCTATCCATTGGAAGGTGGATATGCTGTGCATATATCTCCCAAATCTGAACGCTCATTATCCATAAAAAGAAGCTCTATGAGGTGAGCCAAAAAGGAGTTTCCTTTTGGTTAGCTCAACATGAGCTCTACACAGCCTCACTCAGCTGTAAATTGTTCTTAGGAGTTCTTTTGCTGGCAGGAAAAATGGGCATTATATAAAAAACATTTATCACCAAATACTCTTTATGTTACCAAACGTTAGAGGGCCTCCGTTCAATACTTTAACACTATAGAGGACCAAGGTGAAATGGACACTACTTCCAACATTGCTGGTTAGCTATATCACACTAAAACAATCTAATAAAGCAGGGGGTTCTCAACCTGGGGTATGCATACTCCCAGGGGGTATGAGAAGCTTGTCAAGGGGGTTCGGGCAATATTTGATAAATAACTAGATTGTCCTAATTGAAATATTCCAAAAGTAGGAATGTTAGTGAAAAAAGTTGTGGATTCTAGAGCTTAGAATTTATTTCCTTTCATATTGAATAGGGGGTACAGGAAGGTTTACTAAAAGCCAAAGGCTACGCGGACTAAAAAAGGTTGGGAACCGCTGTAATAAAGCACAAAGATGAAGCTACAGATATAGCTAGTAAGTAGCTTTGCTCATGTAACCCACACACCAAATGCGTGTGGTTCATTGTCTCATGTAGTGGTACTTAGACCACTTATAGCGAGAGATAAGTATGAGTGAGCTCTATAGCCTAAGCTGAGAGCCAACTGACTTTATAACTCAAGCTGTAGAGGCTCCTACACTAAGCTTCAGAGATCTTATGTTCAAATCTACCTAGTGGTGGTTACACTTACAGGTAACTTAGCATTTTGGTTTGAATCAGCAGGAGTGTACACATTCAGGTATAAACAATCTTCAGAGACTGTTAAGGGAGGACATTCAGCTTTTAACATTGCTGTCCATGTCTTTATCCACTCCATGTCTTGCAGGCACCTTAATGATATAATGAAAATGTTAATGTTCAGTAAAATGATAGTAATACATGATCATAATGTTAATTACATCTTATACTAAATTTCTAATAACAGCATTTCTAACGCTGAACATATTTTCAGAGTGATCCAAAAATATCTAGTTCACAACACCACATTATCTTAAAAGAATGTATCAGGGCTGTTCCCCACGCTGGCACTCAAAAGGCAGAAAGTGGGGGTCCGCAAAGACTTTAAATATACCATGCATCTACAAGCTCTGGTTACAAAAACTTTCCCAGAGTCATGAATTCACTGACTTTTGTGGGGGTGCTGCCACCATCAAGTGATTTTATCCCTAGAACCGGGGGTGAACACTTGAATTCTCCCCCAGGGGTACCCCAAGCTCTGTTACCACAAGAGAGCTTGAAAAAAGAAAAGAGAAAAACAAGCTGCAGTCTCTGGTAACTGACCTCTTAGTCTGAGGCATGCAGACATACAGGGAGACAGACAGACCTCCTGTATTTTCCAGGACACAAGAATCATATCATCACCTTAAAAAAGTGTTTTTTATTACAAAACAAAAGATATATTTGATAAAGCATACTTGGTTGCTAGATGTTACAGAGCAACCAAGGAAAACATATTAAAACACAGAAAATATCTGGGACAATTCTTAGATGGTAAATGGGGAAGGGAGGCATAGAGTCACACAGAGCAGTTCAAACCAAACCACAAAATAAAGAAAAATACCCTGATCACAACTAGATTAACTTTCCCGCTTTATTTACTCACAATCTTCTCTTTGTTCAGTTTACTTCCATGCCCTGGATTCCTTGGAGGCATGGTAGTCCAGTCTGGGTTTAAATCATTCTATGTCTTTCAACTCCTGGTTTAACTTTCCCACAAAAAGAAAGCAGGCAAGGTATCTAGATCCAATTCAAATTTCAGCACTCTATCTCGATTGGTTCTTCTGGCCCCCTGCCAATCCTCCTGCTAGCTACCTGAGTTTAACCCCTTAATCACCGGGTAATGGCCAGCACTCCTCCTATCCATTACAGAAGGAAACTAGCTTTAACCAAAAATTGCAAATACTGATCTAAGTTACAACAAAAACCCCATGTCGCCTGTATCCTCCCAGCATTATGTAGATTTGCCTCTTATTGGAATACACATCCCTTTTGGCTTTGCGCAAATCATAACCAAAGTGTATATCCAAAGGAGTTCTTAAAGATTCAGGTTGTCTTATCAAAGTCCAACTCAATGGATCTTTGGGGAATAATTTTGCTTGGAAATGTGTGAAACAATAATGAAGCTATCAATTTATTTTCACAAATACTGCCAAAAGCATTATTTTGAAATATTCACTCTGCTCCCATACAAAGGGCTGCATGGTCCCTTACAGCTCCCTCCAGCCAATATGCTGGAGATGTTGGGAAATCGAGCATAAACCCCTAATGAGAATGGCTTCCTTGATCTCAGCTAAGTCTACACAGGAGAATAAAGTGGGAGATATCACTGAATAACAGTGAGAATTATTTTAATGGCCATGAAAATAGAAATTACTCTTAAAATCAATAACATATTTTCTCCAAAGCTTTTGGCCCGTTAAAGTGATCTAGCAGTGTATGTATTCTAGATTTATTTACTGAGGGCAACATTAACTAGGTGGCAGAGTATCTAATATTTAAATGTAAACGTTTATTCTTGTTTTCTAAAATAAAACAATAATTTTCACAGCTAACACATGGAATTCTAACTGAACATTCCAGGTTGAATCTCTCAAGTTCAGAACTCTCTGGTCCAGAAACCTCCATTGTCCAGAATATTTCTAGTTAGCTGGATGTCCAATTTCATGGGTGTGGCCAAGTTTTCCATGGTCCCATAAAGTTTGTTTACAGTCACCAGTCCTAGCTCTCCATGTTCTATGCTGATATTTAGCTCTAATTTACTCCTAAGTGTTGGTAATGCTGCTAGACAATCTTGACCTCCCCTCGTCTGGAAAATTCTCTCGTTCAGAACTGGTCAAGGGTGCCAGATTAGAGAGGTTCAACCTGTGGTTGTCTGATGTTATCGAGCTATTTTGGTAAAGGACAAGAACACCTTTCAATTCACAAGAGAAATGACTGGAAGATTTTAAGAATTTCACACATTCCTTATGGGACTTATTACTATGCAAACACATTCCACAAAGCCAAACTCCTTTACATAAAGTTACACAATCTCAGTAATGGGATAAAAGGCATACGTGACTCAATTCAAAATCATTTACTAAACTGGGTCAATAAGCAAAGCCTAAAACAATCAGATCTTACATTGGTGGGTAGGAAGTTGCAGCTCTTAGACCTTTCCACGGGTCTACTGGTTGTGGGGGTGAAAACCTCAGGGATCCAAGAGGTGGTTTTGCAAAAGAAATTCCAAGAAAAACATTCACGAGCCTATCTGTTCCTTTCACGCTACTCCGCTTTCCTTGGAGACGTCCATATTTGGTAGCTACTTCTGGTTGCACACCTTTATGTCCTGTACAATATATTGATAAAATATCAGCAAATTCTCAATGAGGCAAATTTCCTGAGACATCACATGCTTCCACTTTTTTCCAGGAATAACTTCCTTAAAGTGAAATTCTTGTAAGTATTGTAAAAATTTATATTTGTAAAAAATAACAAGAAACTCTGTCTATTTACATTATCTAAGAGAATGTTCTGAGCGGACTTAGTCATACTCTGTAAGTACCTACAAGGGAAGATTTGAGATAGTAGATCATTCTTTAAGCTAAATGGAAAAGGTATGACAAGATCCAATAACTAAAAGCTGAATCTAGATAAATCCAGGCTAAAAATAAGTTGTAATTTTTCATCAATAATAGTAATTTATCATTGGAACAATTTAAGTCATATGGTGGACTCTCCATTATTTTATGTCTTTAAATCAATATGGAATGTCTTTAAAAATATATGTTCAAGCAGCTCAACCCCAAGATAAGAGCTTGATGCAAATTACTGAGTGAAATTTTATGGTCTGTTTAATGCAAGAGGTCAGACGAGCTGATCCTTCTGGCTTTACAATATATAAATCTTTCTTAGTCCTTTCATGCGTTTGCTAGTGTACATCAAAGTGGAGTGGAAAGAATTATTTTTTCCCTTACAATATTTCACCTCAAGATTTTTCTGACATTTCCCACGCAGAAGCAGAAATATGCTGATAGTGAGATTTTCGGTGTAATTAGGAACATACTGCAAGTTTTTCAAAACTTACAAAAATTATGGGTTAACTGATACTATATTGTTGAAACGTGGTTAATCACCACTTTGATTACTCCCCTGCAACCATTCCACTATTTTGTCTCTTGTCTGAGGCACCCTGAAGTGCTCATGTTCTATGCTATTTGGGTGCTGCTGGGAAACAAATAATTATCTTAATAAGGGGTTTATTCCCTTCAATTGACTTAATGTGACTAAAATGACAAATTATTTCTTCTATTGTGTTCCTTCAGCAGGCCAACTATGGTCCTGATCCAGCAAGGTGTTGAGCATCCCCTCTTCCAGGAGGTGCTAGAAACTTTGTAGGATAAGGATATGTAAGACCAGATTCAGGAATCATACAGCAGACAGTTATATGCTAATACAGAACACTCTCAGGCATGAGGGTTAGCCCAAGCTAGATATTTTACTGATAACTGAAAAGCTGCTTTGCAGTTGAAAAGGGAAATAATGTCACTACTAGATCTTTAAGAACACCTTCAAATATATTATTTAATACTTCCCTTATAGCCATTGTTAATGACAGCTTTTGGTTTGAAGAATTTCTTTCTTTCATCCTGTTTAATCTAGGGATGTGAAAGTATAACCATGTACACGCTTAACAGATGAGCCTGGGCACATTGGTTAACCCTCACGGTTACATGCACAGCTGTTGCCTTGATTCAGCGGCAGCAGCAGGAGGAAGGGGAGCAGGTGGGAGTCAGTGCTCACGAGGAGCTAGCTTAAAATCCAGCTTCTCACGAGCACCTGCGCCCTGCATGTAAACATGCAACCAATGAAAATTTCAGCAGTTACACATTTACAAAAATAAACACATTTTAACACCCCCAATTTAAACTTTCCTTGCTTCCTATGCACTTCATAGAGAAGACGTAGTCAGACTCTGGAGGTGCTTCTGGGCTCAAGCACACACACACACACACACACACACACACACAAAATAGTAGGTGCTCAGCATCCAGGAGCAGAGCTGGAATGCAGAATGAATTCTGAGTTCTGTGCTGCTAACAAACTTCTGCTCTTGTTTGTTTATGAACAGAGGCAGGCTGATTAAATTAATTTAAAGATTGTTAGATGCTCCTGAAAGTATTCCCAGACTCTCTAGTTAAAGGAAGGAAACAAAGGGTAGCCATATATGGCCCATTTTCATAATGGAGAGACGTACTAGTGATGCCCTTGAAGGGTTTGTACTGGAACCAGTGATAGTCAACATATTCATAATTGAGTTGCAACAAGGGGTACACACTGAGGTGGCCAAATAATCAAAATTTTACATCCCAGGTTCTACTCAGTGGGGCCGACAGCCACTGTGGGTCCCAGGGCAAGGTATACGAGGGCACGGTGGAAAAGGTGAGGCTGAAGGCAGTCAACCCTTAGCACCACTCAGACCATGGCATGCCCTGCTCCCTCCCCCAAGTCATGCAGAGCAGCACTCCAGCAACAATTCAAAGGGGAGCAGTGTTCGCCCACTTGCTCTAGCAGTGTTGGCAGACAGGAGCTCTGGGCCCTTTTAAATCTCTACACATGGGGGCAACTGCTCTTTTTGTTCCCTGTTGGCAAACAGGGTTCTACTTGTGACATACTCCAGGATGACTGTATAGCAAGTATAAAAAACAGTGACACTTTTTTGGGGGGGAGAGGGGCTGCATATATAAGACAAATCCTCTAATATGGCATGTGTGGTCAACCTACGAAAAACAGATTGGAAGGGTTAAAAACACCTTAAGGTCCCCATGCTTAAATCCCTTCTTGACTTTTCCCATCAGTAAAGGAGTTTTTATTTACCCTCAGCTGCAATCACAATGAAGCATTCAGCACAAATCAGAAACTGGAATAGCCAAATTCTTACAGCAGACTGTATTTTCATGTCTGCAATTGCTTCTCTTCTTTTAATTGCCAAATGCAGGTACAAAGGTCACACTGTCAGAAGATTAACTAAAGGGCTTGTTACTAAACTCTAGAGCCAAATAAGCATTGGGTAAAAGGCACTAGAGATATGGGTTATAAGGAAATTAATTTGCACCCAACCCCTAAGCCAATTTTTTAAAAAAAAGCCATTTCTGGAAAGGTTGTTGAAACATAGCTACCAAGACCAATCCTGATGATCTACAACGAAACATACTGCAAACAAGTTCTACAATTCATCATTCTTTCTGGGACTACTGGTATGTCTGGCACTTTGAACACAAAGCGCTCAGTGCCCCAGCCCCAGGGAGTTTATAATCTTTACATCTACCTGTTGGGATTGCTCAAACAAACCACTGCCATGTCACTGAGCTGAGTTACTTAGTGCTTTGAACAAAAAACAGGCCTAGGTAGCACTTTAAAGACTAACAAGATGGTTTACTAGTCCTGTTTTTTTGTTTCAGCTAGACTAGACTAACAGGGCTACATCTCTATTACTATTCTTAGTGCTTTGATGCATTCAGAGGGAAGTGCCCTTCCTCCATCCACAGCGCCTGGGAGCAGCTCCTGTGGTAATGATGTGGCAGTGACTCGTTTTCGCTCGGCTACTGTTGGGGTGCACTTGATGGGCTCAAGCTCATCTGAAGAAGTGGGCTCTGGGCCCACGAAAGCTCAAGGCACTAAATAGCCTTGCAACAAACCCCGTTGCCAGCTTTGTCCACATATTCACTCTGCTGATACCACTATTGGACCAAACCAAGTGAGTTATAAGATCAAAAATACATATTCCTGCGCATCCAGAAACATAATTTATGCTATCATGTGCCGAAAGTGTCCGTCTGCTTTGTACATTGGACAAACGTCTCAGACACTTCGCCAAAGGATCAATGCTCACAAAACAGATATTAGACAGGATCACAAAGAAAAAAGTTTCTTGCCATTTCAACCAGAAAGGACACGGTCTCAACGATTTAATTACCTGCATCCTGCTCCAGAAGCCTTTTAAATCTGCACTTGAAAGGGAATCCTCTGAACTGTCATTCATGCTAAAATTCGACACTCTACGCGTCGGTGGGTCTCAACAAAGACGCTAACTATCTTACCCATTACAAAGACAGCTTCCCCAGTTATCACCTCTAATACCATTAGCTCACAGACATTTACCATCCCCCCCATCCCCCTTCTGTTCTGAAATGTGATTTGTCCTTTTCATATGTGTTCACTTTTTTTTAATTGTATCCTTTGGTCTATATGGTTGTGACAATTTTCTTCCACTATTTGATCCGAGGAAGTGGGTCTGGCCCACGAAAGCTCATCATCTAATAAACCATCTTGTTAGTCTTTAAAGTGCTGCATTGTCCTGTATTTTGCCTCAGCTACCCCAGACTAACACGGCTGCATTTCTATCACTATTCTAAACAGCCTCGTGTTAGCCTCTGACACTCCGCA